TTATGATAAGTTATGCAACTTTTATTTAGCTTAACTAGACTATGTTTTTTTTTTACTTGTGTTTGTTTTCCATTAAAAATTTCTTTCATTGAGACGTTGCAGCATGCATGAAGTGGTCCTACATGCATGAAGTGGTCCTACATGCATGAAGTGGTCCAACAAGCATGAAGTGGTCCTACATGCATGAAGTGGTCCTACATGCATGAAGTGGTCCTACATTCATGAAGTGGTCCAACAAGCATGAAGTGGTCCAACAAGCATGAAGTGGTCCAACAAGCATGAAGTGGTCCAACATTCATGAAGTGGTCCAACAAGCATGAAGTGGTCTGACATTTATGAAGTGGTCCAACATTCATGAAGTGGTCCAACAAGCATGAAGTGGTCCAACATTCATGAAGTGGTGTGGTGTTTTCGTTAGTGGGTTTTTAAATGCTACATTGGTTTTGCAAAAAATCTTAGCGCTTTTAATTTTAGTATCAATTCAAGATGACCAATGGATTAAAGTAAAGATGACCAATGGATTAAAGTAAAGATGACCAATGGATTAAAGTAAAGATGACCAATGGATTAAAGTAAAGATGACCAATGGATTAAAGTAAAGATGACCGATGGATTAAAGTAAAGATGACCGATGGATTAAAGTAAAGATGACCGATGGATTAAAGTAAAGATGACCGATGGATTAAAGTAAAGATGGCCGATGGATTAAAGTAAAGATGACCAATGGATTAAAGTAAAGATGACCAATGGATTAAAGTAAAGATGACCAATGGATTAAAGTAAAGATGACCAATGGATTAAAGTAAAGATGACCAATGGATTAAAGTAAAGATGACCGATGGATTAAAGTAAAGATGACCAATGGATTAAAGTAAAGATGACCGATGGATTAAAGTAAAGATGACCAATGGATTAAAGTAAAGATGACCAATGGATTAAAGTAAAGATGACCGATGGATTAAAGTAAAGATGACCAATGGATTAAAGTAAAGATGACCGATGGATTAAAGTAAAGATGACCAATGGATTAAAGTAAAGATGACCAATGGATTAAAGTAAAGATGACCGATGGATTAAAGTAAAGATGACCGATGGATTAAAGTAAAGATGACCGATGGATTAAAGTAAAGATGACCAATGGATTAAAGTAAAGATGACCGATGGATTAAAGTAAAGATGACCAATGGATTAAAGTAAAGATGACCAATGGATTAAAGTAAAGATGACCGATGGATTAAAGTAAAGATGACCAATGGATTAAAGTAAAGATGACCAATGGATTAAAGTAAAGATGACCAATGGATTAAAGTAAAGATGACCGATGGATTAAAGTAAAGATGACCGATGGATTAAAGTAAAGATGACCAATGGATTAAAGTAAAGATGACCAATGGACTAAAGTAAAGATGACCGATGGATTAAAGTAAAGATGCCCAATGGACTAAAGTAAAGATGACCAATGGATTAAAGTAAAGATGACCAATAGATTAAAGTAAAGATGACCAATGGATTAAAGTAAAGATGACCAATGGATTAAAGTAAAGATGACCGATGGATTAAAGTAAAGATGACCAATGGACTAAAGTAAAGATGACCAATGGATTAAAGTAAAGATGACCGATGGATTAAAGTAAAGATGACCAATGGATTAAAGTAAAGATGACCAATGGATTAAAGAAAAGATGACCGATGGATTAAAGTAAAGATGACCAATGGACTAAAGTAAAGATGACCAATGGATTAAAGTAAAGGTGACCAATGGATTAAATTAAAATTAAGATGACTGATTTGCCATTATAAAATATTTTTGGAGAGTAAGGGGGTTCTGGCCTACTGGAATAACGAGATCCACCCAGTGGCGGGCTCAGTCCTATAGGGACTCTAGGCAGTCGGTATTTCGGGGCCTCTAAAACATGCACTCCACGCAAAGACACACACACACACATATACTCGCTGGGGCAACGCAAGCACGTTGCACTTGTAAACTAGAGCGTGATTCTGTTTGGGAGGTCGCCATGTTGGGACTCGGGATTAACTTGTGTTTCTGGGGTCTGGGCTTGGGATTCGCCTATGCGCTAGGTTCACCCCCCTTGCTAAATCTGATTCTACTTTTTTTTTTTTTACTTTGTTACCCAATAATCCAACCAGGGACTTTATTTGGAGAGTGCATGGGAGCATTTCCCCACCCCTCGGAATTCGTAGAAAAAAAATTGTACTAGGTATCAGTATCCGCTACAGCTAAACAATCAAGCGTAGCGGGAAAAAAAGAAAAAATAAAAAGGAAAGAAACAAACACTTTTTTTATCATTAAAATAAACAATAGAAAAGATAAATGATAATCTGAACGTTCTTATTTATATTAATATGTGTAGTGTTGGCCTACTGTGGCGCCACCAGTAATAAACAACTCAAAAAAGCCGTTGAATTTGTTGTTTTGTGCCCCCCCTCCCGCCCAGTCTGAACCACCCCTCCCCCTTTCAAATGACGTCTCTGCGTCCCACTATTTTTCAATTGTTAAATCTATTTTTCTCCCACACAGTTAAATCGCGTCTTTATAAAACACAAAGCAATTATGCACATCATGAATAAATGTATGTTATTTACTTCCATGTAATTGCCTTATAATGCGCCACAAGGATAAATACATTTTTTCGGTTATTTACTCAATGTTTTCAAAAATAATTATTTACCAAAACTGTCCTTGATTTATCTCCATGTTGTAGCTCTAGTGCTTTTGGGTAAAACATAATAAATGTGTACACCAAGGACCAAGGGATTTAATATAACTCAATCACAGTTGCAGGTTTTTTTACACTCCCTTGGGCGGACAACGTCCCCCTCAGAATCTTTTATATATATATACAGAGACACACCACAATTTTATTGTTTAAAAACATCACCCTTTTATCTCTAAGTTATTATTTAATTTGGATTAAAACCTAATTTAGAAAGTATTTAACATGGTTGTAATTAGAAATATTTCCCGCAGGTAACGCGCGAATGTGGTCACGTGATTTATTACATTTACGTGGATTGTGGGGAAGGTTTGAATACTTCACACGTCGTTGTGGCTAGAAAATTCAGTTGAAAAAATATTGCATTTTCATAATTACAAATTTAGAGCAATGAGAAAAATGAAATGCAATTTAGGAGACATTCTAATAATAACAGGCGATATGATTGATACCAATAGGCCTAAGCGATACTAAAACTCAATACAACGACTTGATATTACGACTAAGGCTTAATACTTAGACTTGATACTAAAACTTAATACTCAGACTCGATACAGCTAATAAGACTCGATACCAAGACTTGATAATCATAAAAACTGATAAAGGGACTAGTTGATAGTTTTATAAGTAATTTGTCAACTTTTAATTTTATAAAACGAAAAACAATAGAGCTCTTCACGCTGTGACTTTCAAAAATTTATTACATCTCCGCCCCCCACCCCCAACCCCCCAGTAAATTATCCATATCCTTTACTTTGAGCTAGAGTTAAAATTTTGTTAGAAATCCCAACGGAGAAATGAAAAAATCTTGTACTTTCCCATTTCTGATCGCCTATTTCTTGACCCAAATGGCTAACACTGTATTTTTTAAATTCTATTTATCCCTGACATCATTAAAAATAAATAAATAAAAAATATTTTCACAGCATTCTCCATTGATTACAATTTAAAATAAATGTTTTCGACATGAGTGGTTTCCCTTAATTTTTCTTTCCTCCCCTTAATTTATAACTTATTATGGAAAGGGTAAGCATAGACATAGAGATATTAAAGCTCTGTGGGCGTAAGGGATACCGAAGATGCACATCTGTTCCTTTCATTAAGTTTTTATAAGTACGGTTCCTGTCAAATCATGTCCCCAGTCTCGTCTCAAAAATAAAATAAAATTGATCCGTTGTCATGGCGCCCCTAAAAGGCTCGGCCGGGCACTGGATAGGCCTACATCCTACTGTGAACAGGCCCGGTCGGGCTCTGGATACATCCTATTGTGAACAGGCCCGGTCGGGCTCTGGATACATCCTATTGTGAACAGGCCCGCCTCTGACGTCACCGAATCACCTGGTTATTAAATAATAATATTTAAAGACACGATGTCGTCCACAACAGACCGAGGCGCCACTTCACATTGACGTCAACACAACATGGCCAGTAGATGCCCTGTGTTTCAATTGTTTGATCAGTTGGGAAGTGTGCAAATGTGACTTGGTTAATTAAACAATGTATTTATTTATGCGCTGAAAAGATAGATGTACAATGTCATCAAAAAAAAAAACATTGCCATTTGTTTGGATCAATAAAAGAATCTTATGTAAAGCTGTTGTTACGACTAATATTGTGAAACCTCGTCCACTTTTAAAAAGTCCCTTAAACCCCACCTGTTTAGGTCCGCCTATGACCTGTGTTGCACCCTCCTTGCCCTGCCTCATTTTCTGTCTCGGGTTGATCCTGTAGTATAGGCCAAAACGTGCCAAAGTGTCCACGTTTTATAGCCATTTTAATTGTTTCTATAGTATAGTAGTTACTATCCTAGTGTCTCATTTTTATTTTACTTAGTTTACATGTTTTTAATAATTGTAAAGCGCTTAGAGCTTTCAGGTAAGCGCTATATAAAAAATGCTTAAATAAATAAATAAATAAATGATATTTCTTATCTTTTGTAATTACATTAAAACTTATTAAATCTTATTAATTGTAACTAGCAACTGTTTTGGGTGTCATATCTTTAATATTGTTGACTCTATGGTATCGTCCTTTGTTGGGCACTGTTTACAACAAGCCAAATAAAATTAAAATAGGAGGTTAATTTCTCATATTAGAAGCCAGTGCGTAACAATATTGTTTAAAAAAAACATATTACTTAATCACATTCATTTATCTATTAATGATATACACTGGTGAGTGAGTTATAGGGTATTGCTTGTCACCTGATTAATTAAGTTTACTTTTCTAGCTATCACTGTATACAAGCCTAACAACACTATTACAGGTAAAATGTTCCATATTGACTTTGGCTTCATTCTTGGCCGAGACCCAAAGATTATGGCACCGCCAATGAAATTAAACAGGCAGATGGTAGAAGCCATGGGAGGATATGACTCAGAACACTTTCAGAGATTTAAGGTGTTCACATACACAGCTTTCCTGGCTCTTCGTAGGTAAGTTGGCGACAGAGTTTTCTTCTGTACTTATGGATCAAATTTTACATTCTTTGTGGACAGCTGTGTATTTGTGTTGGTTTGTGCATGGTTCTCTGTCATCCCAACTTATTTTTTTAGTTATCATCAATAGCATGTATCATATCAAAATAACAATCAAAATTGTTTGCCTGTCAAAGTATGGGTTCTTGCATCACACGCTGGAAGTTTACAATTCATGTCTAGATTGAGTCCACTAAGCTTTACATCTCAAGAACCAAAATTAGATGATTATGTCTATTGCTATAGCACTTTATTTAATTAGATAATGACAGCTATTGATAAATTTCTTTACTTAATTAGATAGTTATGTGGATTGAATAATGATTGGTAAAGTTCTTTACTTAAGTTACATAAAATGGTTACTGTTTGTTTCTTCAGATCAGCTAATCTGTTCCTAAACTTGTTTTCTTTGATGGTTGATACAAACATTCCAGATATTGCCCTTGAGCCTGATAAAACTGTCAAAAAAGTGAGTACAAAGCAATAGTGGATTATTTTCACATTTATTTAACTCTTTCGCTGCGGAATTTTTTAATTGAAAAAATTTACTTTTTTTTTTCGAAGAGCGAAAAAGATTAAGAGGTTGGGTTTATTAAAAAATATTTACAATATTATTCTTTGGTTTATAAGAATAAACATGGTATCAAGAAAGATAATTAAAAGGACTATATTTTTGCACATTTATTTCTTCAGTTTAAATAAAATAAGTTACCGGTACAGAAAAGAACAATAAAATGTGAAAACATTTTATGCTAAACCATTTTTTCCCCAAACTCTTTGATGTACACATACCTCATCTTCACTCTATAACTCAAATACTCTAAAACTACTACTATCGGAATCATGTTGACCATCAAAAGAAATAGTATAAAATTATTTGAAAGCTTTTTGAGCTGTTAATCGTCTAAGAAACTTATTCACCTACTACTACTAGGGCCTAGAGTAACCATATCAACAGTAGAAAAAAAAAGCAAAGAAAATCATTAAAATAATGCTTTAAATGACAACAAATAAACCTTGGTTTCGCTTATAAACAATGAAATACCACTCTTCTATGTAAAAATCTTATTTAAAAATAGCTCTTAAAAAGTTTAACTGAGAAATAGCAAAGACACAGACATGATATTGAAATGACGCACAGCGTGTTGGTCCGTGCTTTTATGAACGAGGGAAGAACGTAATGTGCGTTGTTCCGCATCGAAAGAGTTAAAGAGCACCATCTTAACTAATTTAGTGCTTGGTTTAAAATATTTTCTTGCCTACTTGTACTAACAGGTTCAGGAAAAGTTTATGTTACATTTAAATGACGAGCAGGCAGTTCAGCACATTCAGGGTCTGATTGATGACAGTGTCAATGCCTTCATGCCTACACTAATGGAGTACGGTCACAAGGTGGCTCAGGTGTGTACACATGACATGGTTAGCTTACCAATGAAAAAGCAGTGAAGTATGTTGTTTGGATAAGCGTTTTTATGTAACAGGACACCACTGGCAGCACCAAAAGGCTATTTAGAATTGTGTTTAATCGCCAATTTGGGGAATTATGTTAGGAATTAATTTTTGTGTTTTTAAATTAATTTTATTTTGAAACTAAATATACTGGTAGTATATAAATATAAATGTTTAACTCTCGGCACCCAGCTAAAAATTAATTCATAATTGCCATTGAACAAATACTAAACTTTTTCTTCTTTAGGCACTGAGGAAATGATCACATGTGATTCTGTTGGCCAAGGGATGGATAATCTGTTTCAGGATTATATAGAGTTGGAACTCCAGTGTCCTCCTGTTTCAAACTGGAATCATTATCTGTGCAATGAAAAGATACACATTTTTTAAGGCCATATATTTTAATACTAACAAGCATTGGGAAAAGTTGTATTGTGTTTTCTGGTGGCTGAAATAAATATTATGTTATAAATTAGAAACATCTTTAAAACATGCTTTGTTAGGGAATAGGGTGACTTCTTGGGTATGGCTATGTAATTTAATTTATTTTTTGTATTTTTAAAGAATGTGTGTACAAGAATTTAAAAAATACTTCTGAGATTATAATGGATACTTTTTATTTATTACGTCAAGTTTTGTCCATCACACTTGTCAATGTAAGCCATGAGACTGATTTAATTTACTGTAGCAAATATATTTTTTTAAATAGTAGTGGTCTAGAAATATGCCATTAACTAAGAAGACTTGAAAGCATTAATTCATGAAAAAACAGATATATAATTATATGTATTTAATTTCTAACCTCCCTTCCCCCCCTCTTACACACCAAAAAATATATTCAATGTAATTAAATAACATGACACTTCACTGTGATTTGAAGAAATAATTTCTTAAATATATCATTGTTGGAAAGCTCGCAAGTATGTATGGCAAAATTTTATGGAAGGCTTTGAAAATACAAATGTGAACAAGGCGTATAATATATAATGAAGAAATCAGTATATGAGAGCGTTAAATGAATCCAATTGAAGTTGAAGACCCTAGTGCTAAAAGTACTTAAGTAACATTTTTGTCAAAGTCAATCTAAACTGTGAACTTTTCTTATCTGGTTTAGCCGAGTGTTGGCCCACTGCATAAATTTGAACATATTAAAATGTACCCAAGTCCATTATTTAAACAAGGCAAGAAAATAAGAATTATAAAATTTTATATAGACAAAAAGAATGTTTGAACAAGATTATCTCAAAATAGTAATTTTGATTGTATTGTGTTTAAAATGAATTGGCTGAGACTTAAATTGTTTTGTATTTAAATTTCTGTTCTTTTTTTTAAATTGTGTCATAGTCAGCTGTTCCAAGCTGCTAAACTTGATGCTATACCTTGTTATGATTTTAGCCCCAACATGTTATCATTTTTTTTTTTAATTATGGTTTAACTATAAATTCATAAATGTAAAAAATGATAATGAATGATTGAATAAATAAACTGTTAATTTCTTCTTATATTTGACGTTGTTTAAATTTGATTATTGTCCAAAAAAAAACTATGCCTGAATATTTTGTTTTAATTAATTGGTTTAACAGAGTAAGAAATGAAAGAATTAGATTGTGAGCGAGCAGTGGCTGCTACTGAGCTAGAGAACAAGATAAGAATGAGACGCCATAACATAAATTGTACCATTCAAGACAAATATTTTAGTTTAAGTATAAATTCGTCCATTTCAAATTCTAGATCTCTATCGTATCCACTGGGGTTAGAAAGGGGGTGAGGTGGGGTTCCGTCCCTAACAGCACATTTTCTTTACTTGGAGGGCTGGTATTTTCAACCAATGGCAAAGTTGTTTTTAATGGGGCCCGCCCCGATTGACACTAACCCTAGCTAACCCTTTTAATCTATAATAAAATTTTAAAAACAAAAAAATTGCATGAACCCTGAAGCTACCCCCACACAAGTCCCCCTTGATTCTGAGTCACCACTGAATTAGATTTAGATATTCCCTCCCTGTACAAATGTACAATACACGTACCGTACCGGGTAAAACAACAATCTCTACATGAAAGCTTACTGGGGCATGGAAGGACCAGTGTAGACTGGTGGACTCAAAGGTTAAAACCACCAAAAAAAATGTCAATTTATTTAATAATATATTATGTCAATCTTGTCTGGGTTTACCAAAAGAAAAATAGATCATGGACTCACATGTTATTTTTACTTAAACTTATATTACTTCTTTTTATTTAATCCATAACTTTAAGGATTATTTAAGTAGAGCAAAAGTTTGAGGTTGACTTCTTTTGTAGTTTTTTCAGAGTCGTAGTTGAATCAATAGCTAACAAGTGAATAAAGTTAAAATGGGTCACTAGCATAAATTCCATGCCTGTTAAAATAATAATATAGGCCTACAACTGCTCGGGAGTTGAAGTTGAAGAGATCAACGTCCATTTGTTGTAACCCATAGTCCAATAGCCATCTGGCTCGCAACGGTAATGGCATGAAATAGTATAGAACCTAGAACTTAATCAATTACATTTTTGATCCATTTAAGTTTGAAATCATCAAGTGGCCGGGGGGGGGGGCAAAGATTGGATCAGTGGAGTGGCAAGTTGGACAGTGAACGGCTCAAATATGATAAAATACTGATATTGAGGGGCGTAATAGTATAGAACCTAGAACTTAATCAATTACATTTTTGATCCATTTAAGTTTGAAATCATCAAGTGGCCGGGGGGGGGGGGCAAAGATTGGATCAGTGGAGTGGCAAGTTGGACAGTGAACGGATCAAATATGATAAAATACTTATATTGAGGGGCGGCATTTCGGCCTAATTGTGAGTTTTTCGTGGAAGGGAGCTGAAAAAAGACTGAACCACCCCGGGCGGTAATAACCTTAGTTACTCCACTGCTTGGGTCCAGTAGTTTTAGTCCAGGCGGCATTAATCCTCATAAACACTAACAAACTGTACGGTTTGACAGATTCTTTTGCTGCCCTCTCGGATACTACTTTTCAGCTAAGTGTAATATTTTAATTTATTTCTATTTTCTGTTGTTTGTTCGCTGACGAAGGCTTCCTGTCGACACTTTCGTTGTTTTGTTACGTTTCTATTTTCAGATTTTCCCATACTTCATACTTTGTTTTACTCATTTCCTTTTTCGTAAACCTGATTGCAGTCTCTCCCCCTTATTATCAAAATTTGTATTATGAATAATAGGCCCAAAACGGATGGGCAACAATGATCTAGATGTTGCGACAGGGAACGCTGCTTAATTTATTCGATCACCTCCTATATTTATTCACGTTTTGCATGCTAACACGGGGAGCTAAAAAAAAAAAAAGGGGGGGGGGGGG